TGGTTAATATAAATATTAAGATGTATTTGCTTTTAATTTCAGGGAGAACTAGGCAGTTTGAGCTTATGAAATGTCAATAACAATCAAGGCATAAAATAGAGATTTAGTTACAATCCTGGTCTCTGTAGACTCACCGGTAGAGTCTCCCATTCCTCACAGAGAGCAGGGTCCCTCTAAGAATTCTGTTTCCATTTGTAGATGTTTAATTCCTTTTAGGCCATAGAGCCTTAAAAAATAAATAAATAGCCGGAACCTGTTTGGCTCAGTGGATAGAGCATCGGCCTGCGGACTGAAGGGTCCCAGGTTCGATTCCGGTCAAGGGCATGTACCTTGGTTCCGGGCACATCCCCAATAGGGGGTGTGCAGGAGGCAGCTGATCGATGATTCTCTCTCATCGATGTTTCTAACTCTCTACTCCTCTCTCTTCCTCTCTGTAAAAAATCAATAAAATATATTAAAAATAAATAAGTAAATGATAAATAAAGGTCTTCTTGAATACATTAGAAGCAACATGTCAGTTTGGCCATGTGCAACTTTCATGAAGTTCAAAATGCCAGGTCCAGCCGGGACCGGTTTGGCTCAGTGGATAGAGCGTCGGCCTGCGGACTGAAAGGTCCCAGGTTCGATTCCGGGCAAGGGCATGTACCTTGGTTGCGGGCACATCCCCAGTAGGGGGTGTGCAAGAGGCAGCTGATCGATGATTCTCTCTCATCAATGTTTCTAACTCTATCTCTCTCTTTCTCTCTGTGAAAAATCAATAAAATATATTAAAAAAAAAATGCCAGGTCCATGACCGACGATGGTGGAGGCAGACATGAAGAAGGGAAATACACATAAATGAGGCTCCCACACACATTTTGTTCTTATTGTTCACACCCCAGAACAACAGACTTTACCAGAGCGCCCCCGGAAGGCCACTCCTCACAGCTTCGGGCCCCTGGAGGCTCCCGTGTAGACAACATGCTTGAGGAAGTGGCTGCCGACTGCCAGCCGTTTCCCGAAGTTGAGGATGAAGGCCTTGGGGAACTGCCTGAGCATCCACCCTGAGTGCAGAGTGTTTTTCTGGGAACATGTTGGCCGCAGCTTTCACCTGCATGACCTTCGGCTGCCCTGAGAGAGGAGGGACGGCCGTCTGTCCGAGCGCTGGCTGAATAGGAGTGTTCACCGAGCATCGCAGGGGCCAGGAGAGGAGACCCGGGGGCCATCTGCACTCACAGGGCTGGGAGATGGCCATGATGACCCAGGACAATGTCAGCATGCAGAGTTTGGAGACTCACATGTATAATATGATAATAAAATTGCATGATTCCCCCTTTTTCCCCTAATCCTTACCCGAGGGTACTTTTCTCATTGATCTAGGGGAGTGGTTCTCAACCTTCCTAATGCCGCGACACTTTAATACAGCTCCTCATGTTGTGGTGACCCCCAGCCATAACATTATCTTGGTTGCCACTTCATAACTGCAATTTTGCTACTGTTGTGAATTGTAATGTAAATATCTGTGTTTTCCGATTGTCTTAGGTGACCCTGCTAGCTGTTCTCAACCTGTGGGTGGTGACCCCTAGGCTGTAGAGCCTAAGACCATTGGAAAATAAGATATTTACATTATGATTCATCAACAGTAGTAAAATTACACTTATGAAGTAGCAACAAAAATAATTGTATGGTTGGGGTTCACCACAACATGAGGAACTGTATTAAAGGGTGGCGGCATTAGGAAGGTTGAGAACCACTGTTCCAGAGAGAGTGGATGGGAGGGAGGGTGGGCGGGAGAGAGAGAAACATTGATGTGAGAGAACACTGATTTGTTGCCTGTGCACCCATGCCAACCCAAGGCCAGAGATCGAAACTGCAACCCAGACATGTGCCCTTGACCAGGAATTGAAACTGTGGTCCATGGACTGATGCTCTAACCACTGAACAAAACCGGCTAGGGGGGCATTATTCCATCATTATTCCATTTCTGGTGGGTTATGTTCCAGGTTTATGATTGGATCCCAGAAGTTTGTTTGAGGACATTGATGGCTGTCTTGGGCTCCTCAGGGTGCTGGGCTCTGCTCCTGGGGGTGTGGGCAGGGCAGAGAGGGATGGAGGGGCCCCAGGCCTGCAGGTGCTGGGGGTGGGGCACAACCTGGCAAACGCCACCTGTTAGCCACGTGTCACAGATGAGGAGACCTCAAAGCTCTGTGAATCTCCCTCCATGAGCCAGTCCCCTAAGTCCCCTCTGGGCAACCCTGACCCTTCCGCAGCCAGAAGCCACGTCCTGAGCCGAGAGAGCCAGGGTGCATGTGACCCCAGTCTCCCCTGTTCCTGCAGCAGGTGGGCGATTAGTACCCCCTCTCCCCCCAGTGTTGGAGATGGTGCGGCCACTTTGGAAGACAGCATGGCAGTTTCTTATAAACTACACATACGCTTCCCATGTGGCCCAGCGCTCTTGTTCCTTCGTGTTTATCCCCCACGGGGGAAACATGTCCACATGAACACCAGCTTTATTCGTTTTGCCCAAACTTGGGAGCAGCCAGGATGTCCTTTGGGAGGTGAATGGACTGAAGACTCAGGCCCCTTCCCAGGGAAGGACCCGAGGCTCAGCTGCACAGCCTCCAGCTCTGGCTCCTCCCCTCCTCTCAGGGCCCCAACCGCTTACGGACACCAGGAGGGCCCGGGCCGGCTATTCCTGCCCCATGTGCGCCTTTCTAACAGGCAATGTTTGCTCCAGAGTTCTCCGAGGCTGGCAGACGTTCCTCCAGGCATGGAAGGTCTGAGGGCTCCTCCTGCCCAACTTGGCTTCCTCCCCGTTCCATTCACGCCCACCACGTCTACCTCCGCCTCAGGGACAGCCTCCGGGGGAAGGGGGACCCTCCAGCGGGGACTACTCCTTCATCGTCACCTGCCACACGCACAGCGCTGGGTTGTCAGGGAGATGTGGGTCTACACAGTAGGTGTCTGGGACCTCGGTGAGGGAGAGCTTGCACCGTTATATTCGGCTCCCAGAGAAACACGAGCATTTCCTGGTCACATCTGTCTCAGTGTCCCCCCTCCTCCAGCGTGGTGTATGGGTTTTCCTGCCTTGCCAAGCAGCACGAATCATCTCGCCTCTATGTGTGGTGAGGGTCCTTGCTTTCAAGGGCAAGCTCTGAACCCCGGGGGACCAGGGTTCAAACCCTGACTCGGCTACCTTCTGGCTGGTTGACCTGGGACAAGTCACGTAACGTCTCTGTGCCTTCGTTTCCTCACTGAGGAGTTCCCTCACGCGAGATAAAGACAGCGTCTGCCTCAGAGGACTGTGGAGGTTCAGTGAGCCAATCCCCCCACTCAATCTGCTGGGGAGTGCCTGCCAGGAATAAGCCTTCAACAACCTTCAGCTATGCTTATGGGACTCATCTTATCCCTGCATGAGAGGGCACACACAGGCCCCCAGTTATATTTGAATTTCAGAAAACAATGTCAATTTTTTCAGTGTAGGACCTTTATTACCCCCTACTCCCCCCATGGTCTTCTCCCTCACTGCCCCCACCCCCCTTGCTCTCCCAGGAGCTCCCCTGCTGGGCCCAGCACTCCTATGCTCGGGGTTACACTACCACCCGTCCCCACCTGCTCCCACACATCCACATACGTGTAGAGCTTGGCTTTATCATAAGAAATATTTTATTGGCAGTTTCTTTCCGTCAACAATGCCTGAAACATTTTGGAATGAATAGCTCGGACTTCTGTCTAACACATACAGGTCTACCTCATTCATTTTAAACGCGGGTTTGTACTTTGGAAGGCACAAAAATTGTTATTAACTTCACCACTGGTGAATACTCCCATTGCTTATCATTTTCTTTGGCCATAGACATTGCTGCAATGAACAAGGATCAGTGAACAAAAATACCAAGAATATCTGTTCTGAAATGTACTGGAACATATTACAAAGCTAGCAAGAACCACCCAGAGGGCGGGGCGCCTCGGAGGGAACAATGTAATGAAATGGAAAGCCTAGGAACTAAGCACATCCGGGGCTTTTTACGGTGGTGAGAGGGGCCTGCAGGTCGGTGGACGGAGAGCAGGTGACTCATTGAATAAAGCAAAACCGCCGGGGCCCTGGCGGCTGGCCCTCCATCTCACACGCATGTGTCCCCGAATCATTACAATTTTACACGAAGGAAGCTTGAAACACAAAGAGAACGAGGAACAAATCAATCGATCAGGACCAAAGGGCTTTGGAAGCGGGAAGGCCTTTGTCAATGTCACACCAGCACCGGAGCCACGTGGGCGTCCCATGGGCGACCGCTCTGTGGACACCCACGAGCCTCGTCTACACAATTGGACGACAAACCACACACGAGGGGGGGGGATCGGCACCATCCGTGAAAGACCGTATAAATAGTTTCAAAAACTCCATCAGAAAACGAGCACCCGGCAGAACAAAGTCCTGAATGGCCTTATTCCAGTTTAAAAAAAAAAAAAAATTAAAAATAAAAACACTGAGGGCCACAATATAAAAATATGTGCAAACTGGGAAGTTAGGAAGTAATGCAAATTAAAACAGCTTAATGCTATTAGTTTTGCAGAGCAGGAAGGCAGAGATGTAAAAGCACCATCACCCCCTCGTAGGCCCGGACATGGAGAGGCCTGACGCCCTCGCACATGGCTGGGGGAAGGGGGTGGGGGGGGTTGGAGTCCAAGGTCTTCCTGGGAAAGAGGCAGCCGGGCGGTTTGGTCCATAAGCCCGAGAGTATGTGTCCGTCCATCATTTCCTTGGCTGAGCTGTCTTTCCCACTTCCCGCAGCAGATGTGGGTCCCGGACTCCTCTCTCCTCCTGACCTCCCCGGCCCCCACCTGGGTGCGGGAAGGGGATCGCCAGGAACCTGCACCTCACCCCCGCAGGGCAGCGGCCTGTCCCCGGTGCAGGCCCTGTGCCCCAACACTGCCCAGTCACCTGGTGACCCCGCCAGACTTCCATGAGCTCTGAACAGCTCTTCCTCTGCACACCCGCAGGTCAGGGGCCTGAGAAGACAGGTCCAGTCCTGTGCTGCTGCTCTTCCAAGTGCTCAGCCCCCGGGACCCCACCCTGAGCCCCGCCTCCCGCCACCTGCAACCCGGTTGGAACCTTGAGCTCCTGACTGCCTGGAACAGACATGGTCCCCCAACACAGCCAGACACGGCAGCATCAGAATGGGCTCGGACCGAGTCATGGCATCTCAGGACAGGCCGAGCCGGGGCCTCACACGCGCTCGGATAATAAATCAGGGAAAAGAGAAAGAAGGAACGAGCCCAAAGCAGGAAACGAGGGCAAATGGAATGAGAACATATGGGACATTCTATCCATTCAGAACCTAAACGCCTGTGAACTTGAAAGAAAAGTGTGTGTGTGTGTGTGTGTGTGTGTGTGTGTGTGTGTCTGTGAGACGGGGGCGGGAGGGAGGAGGAAGAGGGACAGACAGAGAAGCTTGGCCTTGCTCAAGGTCAAGGAAGAAGATAGGCAGTTCACGTGTTGTCCTGGCGCCCTCCCTGGCTTTGCAGAAATGAGTGTGGAAAAACGCTGAGGCCGGTGTGAGAAAGGCAGGGCAGGAGGAAGGCAGACCCCCTCCTCCCACGGGGCCCCCAGGCCCTCGGGGTCTCAGCACACCTCCCCAGGCCGGCCGACATCCCAGGGGGGCAGCGACAGGTAGTCCTGCTGCTTCAGGGCTTTGAAGAGCTGAATGGCGGGCACCTGGGGAATGGCCGGGCAGGAAGGCTTCTTGGCCGGGAAGGCCTGGTCCAGGTCCCTGCTCTCCAGGCAGGGCCCGGGACAGGAGGACTTGCTCTGGGGGGACAGGGGCCCCGACCCCATGCCTGGGAGGAAGCAGTAGTCCCCCACCTGCTGCAGGACCAGGAGCCCCTCGGGGTGCGGGGAGACTGGGGTCACATCGCCCCGGGGCTCCCTCGGGCTCAGGACCTGGCTGCTGGCTGCGGGCGGGGCAGGACCACCCAGAGGGGACTTGGGGGCCTGGCCCATGGTGGAAGGGAGCTCCACATAGCTGTCAATCACTGATTTCCCGGGGGCGGGGCCTCCCAGGGGCCCACATGCCAGCCTGGGGCAGAGGCCGTGGTTCTGCTCCGAGGGGAGGCCAAGGGGAGGAACCCGGGAGGCGTTCGAGGCAGATGGTACCTCCTTGGGTAAGGCCAGCGCCAGGTCTGCGGGGCTGACGTAACCGGAGGCCACGCTGCTCTCCGCAGGGCGCCCGGGTACAGCAGACAGGGCTGTGGGGCTGTCCTGCAGGCCCTGTCCACCCACTAGCAGCCCAGGAGGGTGAGGGACAGGGCCCGCCCCAGTCTCCACGGAGGGACTCCCCTCCGCCCTCAAGCAGGATCTCTGCTCCGCACCCCTGGCCTGGGCCTGGCCCATCACCTGGGCCAGCGGGACCAGCTGCACCTGCTCCCCCTGGGGCAGGCACAGGTACTCCAGGGACCCGGGGGGCAGAGGCTTCTGGCTGCCCCCCATCGGCGGGGGCTCCTCCTGGCCCAAGAGGTCCGGCAGGGAGCGGCTGTGGGGCGGCCCCAGGTAGGGGCCATTGAAGTCGAAGCTGGAACCCTGGCTCTCGGGGCAGCTGGAGGGGGCCGACAGGCAGGGCGTGGGGCCTGGGGGCAGCTCCCCGGGCAGGTCGGAGGCAGCCGGAGTCGTGCTGGGCTCAGAGGGCGCGTCGCGGGCATGCTTAGGGTCCTCCACAGTGAGAGGCGACACCTCGCTGTGCATGCGGTCTTCGGGGGACACCCTGTGGGGAGAGCAGGTGCAAGGTGCTGGGACCATCCTGGGCAGACACCCCAGCTCATGCAGGAGGGGGTGAGGGGGCCTGGGACCAGTGGGGCTCACAGAGAGCACAGCGGGGATGAGGCGCGGTGGGCGGGACCCTAGAGCAGGTGAGTCCTCTCCCAGGCGAGTCGCTCTCGCCCTCTGCTCCTGGACAGGCCCAGCCTCAGGGCCCAGGCCGATGCCCCGTCCATGCGTGCTGTCACCCCTAATTCCTCACCTGCAGCCTGCAGGGCCCTGTCCTGGGGTTAGCCGTGCTGGGGGCTCAGGTGCTGACCCCATGAGGCCGAGGCAGTGTGGGCTGCCCCCAGGCAGCAGGGCACAGAGAGGTCGCCTGTCAAACCTGAGCTGTGGCCCTTGCTGAGCTGGGAATCAGGAAGTTTTCCCAGCTAAGCCCACTGCATGCTCCTTAGTGCCAACCGCCTGCTCAGGCTTCCGCCTCCCAGGGACCCCAGGCCCAGGCACTCACCCCTGCAGCCCAGGGAAGGGGCTGTCCCAGGGTCCCTTGTGCGCGAGGCTCCTGCTGGTGAGGGCTGCCGGGCCGCTGGGGGGCCAGCGCCCTGCACTCATGTCCTGGAAGAGAGGGCGTGTGTGCCTGTGGGTCTGGGGCCGCGGGATGGCGTTGGTGGAGGGAGGGCTGTGGGGGTGGCGGGGGTTCAGTGAGTCCCCGGAAAAGGGGGGGCAGCTCAACACGGTCAGGACCGGACACAGCCTCTGATACCAGGAGGGGAGGCCAGAGAGGGGCTGGGATTTCCTGGGTCCTCCACCCCAGCACTGAGGACAGGAACCCTGCTCTGGTGAGTCTGCTTGTTGGGGTGTTGCTGCCTCCATACTCACCCCCTAGTCTTCCCACACTGGCCTCGAGATCCTCCCCACACTCGTTCCCTCTGTGGTCCCCTCAGCCTCGTGCCCACCCCCCTCAGTCTGTCTCATCCCCACCTGCCTTCTGCCCTCAGTGACCTTTGCCTCCGGAGCCACCCAGATCCTGCTGTCCTGTCCTCGGAGAGCCTTCCTGCCCAGCCCCTGACCCCGGCCCCACTTGCCCTTCCTGTAAACTCCTGGCACCCCCACCCTCAACCCCTCCTGCTCCACGGGCCCCTGAAGGCAGGGCCCCTGTGCCCTGCGAGGGCCTGCGGGGAGGGGCTTCGGGGATGAACTCACAGGTGCCGGCCTCGCTCTCAGAGCCTCCCGGCCCCTCCTGTGCCCCCCTCTCCACGCCCAGGAAGGGAGGGAGGACGCAGGCACGGGCCTGGGCGGAACACAGAGGGGCCGTTCCCACCACAGCCGCCCTGACCGCAGGGCCGTACCTGGAACAGCCGGCTCTTACTGGGGTTGGGGATCTTCTCCGCCCACTTGTGGGTCCACCTGGAGAGACAGGAGGGAGGTGGCAGCCACCAGAGGCCTCGGGGCGGCTGCCCATGCTCAGATACGGAGGGGAAACTGAGGCCCCAGGAGAGGGTGAGATTTGTCCAAGAACCCCCAGGGAGTGGGTGGCAGAGTAGGGACCGGAGGGATCTGCTGTGGGATCCCTGTTGCCCCATCCCCAGGGTCTCTGGTACCCCCACCCCCACCCCCACTCATCCTGGAGTCCCCTTACCTGTACCCGTACGAGCCACAGAGACGCAGGGCCAGGAGGAAGGCCAGGGTGGTGAAGACCAGGATGAGAGCCAGGCCCCACGTGGGCAGCACTTCCGGCGGCCAGGAAAGAAAAAGGGGCGTTAGCCTCTGGGAGGGAAAAGCTGGGGCTCGGGTGAAAAGTGAGGACGAATGAAAGGAGCAGGCGCAGGGAGACACGGAAGATAAGACATCAGATCAGACCCAGACCCTCCCAGCTCAGGCCTCTGTCCGGAGGCCCTGATGTTTGTGGATGGGAACCAGAATTTTGTGCGGAGTGGTCACTGGCCAGTGGCTGCCACAAAAGCTGAGGAAGCCATGGGTCATATTAACAGAGGACTAAGGTCCCATCTGAGGGAGGCATGGCGATGAGACCTGCTCCTCTCTGCTCTCTCGGGGCCTCGTCCGCAGTCGGTGTGGCACAGCGGGGGTCATTTCTCAATGACTAGTGTCACCCGGGAGTGGGTGCTGGGGTGGCTGCAGTCCCCCTTCTGTGTCTACATCGCCCCTGCCCCTCCCCCAGCTGGGCTGTAGCGGGAAGGGAGAGCGTGGGGGGTGGGGGGGCAGGGGAGACATACCCCACTCAGTGTCCCAGGAGCTCTCCTCACTCCACTCGCTCCAGATGCCGCTGTAGCCGTTGTGGGGCCTGACCCTCACTCTCGCCTGGTACCTGGTGGAGGACTCCAGCGGCGGCAGCGACAGGAAGCGCGTGTTCTGGAGGGGCTCTGTCTTGCTCTCCTGCGGGGGCAGGTGTACTGAGCCTGAGGCTGAGGCAGCTCCCGGGGACCATGTGGGCACAGCTGCAAACCCTCCCCGCCCAGGGCTCTGCTACCTGCCAGCCCTCACCCCTCGCCCCTCAGGTCTGAGGCAGGACCACTCCCACCCAGGAGGACCCTCCTTTAGACCCAGAGAGAGAGAGAGAGAGAGAGAGAGCGAGAGAGAGAGAGAGAGAGAGAGAGAGCGAGAGCGTGAGCATGCCGAGTGGGACCGGGACCATGCCTCTTGCAAGACGCCCCTGTGACATTGAGGCCCAGAAACCCTAAGGGGTCACCCAGTCCCATTCTCATCTTGAGACCCCTGGACCTCCCAGCTCCCCGGGGGCAGCTTGGACCCCAATTATGGCCTCTCGGGAATGCAGCGCAGGGTGACTGGACTCTGAGCTCTGAGATGGGGGTTCGGGTGCCCGGGGCCTAATCCCAGACCCACCGAGACTGGCTCTGAGGTTTCTGATCTGGCCTCTGTGGAGCCCGAGGTTCTGCACATGGACTGAGGGCTGCCTGGGGGTGGGGACCTGGACGGAGCCCTGGTCCCTGCCCTGATGTCTAGGCTGCCTCCAGGGTCACGTGTGTTCATTTGGACCACGCCACTTCATCTCCCTGAGCCTCAGGCATGTGGTCACCATGTTCCACTGGCTTCCTCTGACTGTCCCCTGCAGGTGGCGCCTTCCAGGTGTTGTGTCACATGCCCCCCGACCTCCCCAGCAGGCCCCTCAGGCCCCTCACCTCCCAGGAGGCTGCGTCCTTCTTGTACTGGACCTCGGAGGTGTACTCGATGTGTCTATAGTACATGGTCACCTCCCAGCGCAGAATGTAGCCGTCTCCGCCCTTGGTCACATTGAGCGTCGGAGGAGCCATCTGGACTGGAGGGAGGAGACTTTTAGGAACTGTTCTTCTCAACATCCCTGTCCTGGAACACTCCCTGCCTTCCATGCTGGTTACAGGTGCTGTCTTCACCGGCCCAGGACCCCAGGTCCCGCCCATCTCCGGCTCTCTGCACCTTCATTTCCATCTCAGACTCTCTGCACCCCCATTTCCATCTCAGGCTCTCTGCACCCCCATATCACCACATCCTCCAACTGGACCTGAGCGGCCCTGTTCCTGGCCGAGGCTGAGTGTCACCTGTTCTGTAGCCAGGTGACGCCGAGCCTGGGTTACCCATCGCGTTTCAGTAAAAGCAAAATCTCTGCTCTTGGTTCTCGTCTAGAGCCGGGACCGTTCCGGGCACTGATAGACATGCTCGCTCCGCACGAATCGCCACCAGCGTGTCACAGGCAGGGAGAGAGAGCCCCAGGACAATTAGTCTCTCGCCAAGGTCAGGCAGCTAGCAAGGGGCAAGGACCAAGGTTGCACGCTGGCCAATCCCCAGAGAGGAAGTGGTGGGTTCCAACCCAGGCGGCCAAGACCGATGGACTGCTGCTGGGGACACGACATGCACCGGAGCCGGGAGGACGGAGAGGAAGAACTCGGTCATCCTGAGGTCACCTGGGGGCTCCTGTGCCTGGGCCCCTGATGCAAACCAGGGACCAGGGCTGTTCATCATGGAAGTTAACCTGCCAGGAGTGCCACACTCCAGGGCCCCCCGGAAGTGTACCTAGGTCTGTTGTTTTGAAGACCGAAAGGATCCCTCAGCAAAGACTTTGGAAACGTAAAGCAAAACTGGCAGGCTGGGTGGGAGCACGGGAGGCCCGCTGAGGGGGGGAGGCAGCACAGCTGTGGAGATCAGAGGGACCTCCTGTGTGTTATCTGTGGCTGCCGCTGACCTACCACTGCTTCCTGAGAGCTTCGTGAGCAGACTCTAATGACCTCATTCACTTTGCTCAAGGGACTGTGCTTGTTGAAAGTCGCAAACTGGAAGACGGGACATAGGAACCCTGAGTTTCCTGGTTTATACAAGGAGACGCAGCTGTCGCAATCCCCCCATCCCACTCTCACTCTCACCCCCTCCCACTCCCACCCCCACCCCAGCAGGCTGGGCACACTCACTGTTTTCCGAGCTCTTTATAAACTTCTCTTCCCGCTTTGGCCGAACAGAGACCAGGTACTGGCTGTGGTTCCGGGGGTCGGCCACGGGCACCTGGCACCGGTGGCAGACATAGGGGCCGCGGGCCTCCTTCAGCACCGGGGAACACTCCTGCTCCCTGAGGGTCATGGCAGAGGTGAGGCGGGAGGAGGCAGGGGCCATGGGGGGCGGGGGGCGGGGAATGAGACCCCGGGGTGAGCTGGGGCCACTGCGGGGCACCCAGAGGCAGGAGGAGGCCTGGCTGGAGAGGGCAAGGCTCAGAGGAGGGGACACTCACCCCTCGTTGGGGCTGGGCTTGTAGAAGAGGGTGAAGGAGACGGAGCGGTCCACCTCGGCCCTCACTTCCCAGGAGCAGCTGAGCGCGGTGGCCCCATCAAAGAAGCACTGGAGGTTCTGGGGCTGGGCCTGGTCCCCTGCGAGGGAGACAGCCCTTGCTCGTTCCCTCCTTCATCCATTCCTAGCTCTCCGTGGCTGCCGCCGTGGGACTCATCACAGAGACAGCCTGGGCTTTGGGGCGTGGACCGGGGCGGGGTTCAGCTTCAGTCTGAACCTGCCAGCTGTGTGACCCCAGGCCGGAGGGAATCCTGTGAGCCCCCGTGCCCCCGGGAACGGGGACAGTGTCAAGTTTCGGGGTTTGGGGACTGAACAAGGATGGTGGTGTCCGCACGTGGGCCAGCTCTCAGGGAAGCACAGCTGCTCAGATCACGGGGGAGGTGGATGGGGGAGGACACCCCGTTGTAATAGTCGCTGGGAAAAATGTGTGCAGCCCCTGGGCCCAGCGGGAGCCGATGGCTCTGCGGAGCTACAGGGCGGTGGGCCAGGGAAGACACTCGAACATGTGGCACAGAGGTTGGCGGCCCCCGGACTCCCGTTCGGACCTGTAATGAGCCGCCCTCCACAGAGCCCCGCTCCTCCCCCGCCCCAGCCCAACACCCTCCTCTCCTTACCTGGCTGGGAGTCCCAGAGAACCTCGGGGCTCCATGGGCTGGGCCGGCCTGAGAACCCCGAATCCCGGCCCAGCTGGGCGCGCACTCGGGCCACGTAGGTGCTGCCGGCAATGAGGTGCCCGGGCCCCAGGTGGGCCTGCGGGGCGGTGCAGCTGAGGCTGGAGGCATCCTGCCGGGAGAGGGGGCTGCTGGAGCAGGGGCCGCTGGGCCGGGTCCCCATGAGCTCCGGGCCGAGCGGGCTGAGGTCCCTACCTCCCAGGAGTCCTGATGCCGCCGGTAGGCCACGTCGAACTCCAGCTCGGACAGCCACGGGCTCTGGGAAGCCGCGGGGGCCACGCTCCAGGTCAGCAGGAACCGGTCCCCGTCGGGACGGATGTGGAGGTCCCTGGGCGCGGGGGGCTGCACTGAGGGAGAGGGAGTGGGGACCTGTAAGGGGCTGCAGGTCTGCATGCGGACAGCTGGGGTTCCAGGAGGAGCACTGCCCGCCGCTCCCCAGCCCACCGACCTTGGACAAGACCCCAATCCTCAGTGGACTGCAGGCCCTTCACCTGCCCAATCATGGGATTCCACGTGACGGTGAATGAATGCCGGGCAGACAGCGGTGCACATACTAGCACAGCCTGTGCTCCATACGAGGTGCTGCATTGAAACTCTGCTGCCTCCCTCTGTCCCCAAGCCCCCACTGCCCTGGATGCTGCCTGTGTGGCACCCCTGGCCCAGCAGAGGGCGCTGTGGCTCATGTTACTCTGTGTTGTCCACCTGACAATGTCCTGCATCTCGCAGGGCCCAGCATAAAAGTCTCCTCTAGCTGAAACCGGTTTGGCTCAATGGATAGAACGTCTGTCTGCAGACTGAAAGGTCCCAGGTTTGATTCTGGTCAGGGGCACGTACCTTGGTTGCGGGCACATCCCCGGTTGTGTGCAGGAGGCAGCTGATTGATGTTTCTCTCTCATCGATGTTTCTAGCTGTCTATTCCCCTCCCTTCCTCTCTGTAAAAAATCAATTAAAAAAGATATAAAAGTCTCCTCTAGAACCTTCTCGGATCCCCTCCCCCAGGCAGAATCTTGGCTCCTTTCCCAGCCCAACTAGTCACTTATACTGTCCTTACTCTGGGGGGCTTATTGTTCCCACATCTGCCTCCCTGAGTAGTCAAGGAGCTCATGGGGTGGCAGGGTTGGGTCCTGGTCCCCTCCCCTCTCCTCGGGGCCTGTGATTTAGCGATTTAGCGATTTAGCGGCTCAGTGGATTCGGGGAACAAAGTGAATGAATCAACGGAGGAGTACAGGTAGTCCACCTTCAGGTGCTTTTCATGAACCCATTCCATCAACCGCCAGCAAGCCTAGCTCTGCTGGGAGCTACCGGGCTGGGCGAGGGGTTCGTCAGTCAATGGCCTGGCTCCCGCCCTCCCGAAGCTTCTGTGTCTGAGTGCCCAGGGCTGACATTCAAGCACAGAGCGTTCAGTGAGAGCAGACAGGGTACGAATGTTCTGTGCTGGTCACGGACGTGGTGTGTGAGAGCAGGTCAGAGCTGCCCTTCAGAACATCTTTGGCCCAGGCTGGCAGAGACGGGGCACCTCTTTGCCACCCAAGGGTTTTTAGAGAGAAGTGGAAGGAAGGGAGGGAGAGAGAGAGACAGAGAGAAACATCGATGTGAGAGAGACACATCAACTGGTTACCTCCCGCACACTCCCTGATTTGGGGCCGGGGATTGAGCCTGCAACTGAGGTACGTGCCCTGGATTGGAACCGAACCTAGGACCCTTTGGTCTGAGGGCTGACACTCTTTCCACTGAGCCAAACCAATTAGGGCTAACCTGGCAAGTTTTTTTTTTTGTTTTTTTGTTTTGTTTTTTTTTTTTACAGAGAGAAAGAGAGAGGGATAAAGAGTTAGAAACATCGATGAGAGAAAAATATCCATCAGCTGCCTCTTGCACACCCCCTACTGGGGATGTGCCCATAACCAAGGTACATGACCTTGATTAGAATCAAACCTGGGACCTTTCAGTCCGCAGGCCAATGCTCTATCCACTGAGCCAAACTGGTTTCGGCTAACCTGGTAAATTTTTTTTTATATATATATATTTTATTGATTTTTGTACAGAGAAGAAGGGAGAGAGATAGAGAGCTAGAAACATCGATGAGAGAGAGTCATCGATCAGCTGCCTCTTGCACACCCCCTACTGGGGATATGCCCGCAACCAAGGTACATGCCCTTGACCGGAATCGAACCCGGGTCCCTTCAGTCCCCAAGCCGAAGCTCTATCCATTGAGCCAAACCGGTTTCGGCTAACCTGGTAAATTTTTATGTGAATCATGAGATCAGTTCTTCCAGAAGGGAAACCTTTGGCGTTGGAAGGCAATGGCCTGGCAGGCGGTGGAGCAGCTGGGGTGGGGGTGGGGCAGCGGGTCCTCACCGTGCACCTGCTCTGACAGCCCCATCATAAGGAGACATACATCCTCTTCCCTCAGAGACCAAAACCGAACCCCAGGCCAATACCTCTATCCCTTGAAGACTCACTCCCTGGCCCACCCTCTGCAGCGTGGCCACTCCCTGGGCCCCCTGTCCACACTGGGGGCCGCCCCCAGCCAGGGACCCCGAGCTCACCATGCTGGGCCAGGATGACGGTGAGCTGGGTGCCCAGAGGCCTGTCGGACTCGAAGGAGAAGTTGTCCCTGTCGGCGATGATGAACCGCGTGCTAGGAATGACACACTTTCTGGGCACGCAGTGGGAGGCCGGGCAGGCTGACCAGGGCATGTCGTCAGTGAGCTCACAGGACACTGGCTCTGGGGGGGACCTGCAGGAGAGGGCACGGGTCAGCCTAGAATGAGGAATCGCTCACTTGCAGCATTATGGGGTGGTTTCCATATGAACAAGACAAACACCAATTCCCGCCCAGGGAGCCATCACCCTGCTGGAGGGAGACAGACAGGAAACAGCGGTGTGAAATTAGTCACGTGTCAAATGGGGAAAACGTTATGCAGACAAGTGCAGCAGGGAAGGGTGAGGAGGAGGCCAGAGGTCTGGGGTGGGGGATGCAGCTGGGAATAGGAGAGACAGGGGAGGCCTCCAGGAAAGGGTGATGTTTGAGTAGAAACTTGGACGAGGTGGGGGAGGAGTCATGCAAATTCTGGAGAAAGGGAGTCTCGGGTGCTTGCAGATGCACAGGCCCTGGGGCGGACTCAGGTTTGTATGTTGTTCGACTAGGCCAGTGGTCGGCAAACTCATTAGCCCACAGAGCCAAATATCAACAGGACAAGGATTGAAATTTCTTATGAGAGCCAAATTTTTTAAACATAAACTTCTTCTAATGCCACTTCTTCAAAACAGACTCGCCCAGGCCGTGGTATTTTTGTGAAAGAGCCACACTCAAGGGGTCAACGAGCCGCATGTGGCTCTCGAGCCGCGGTTTGCCGACCACGGGACTAGGCAGTGAGACATTATGCATCGAGTATGTGAGGTTGGGAGGTCTAGGAGGCTAATTGAGTGAGGTACAGGAGGCCAACACTTAAAAGGAATTTGGATTTCACTGCAAGAGGGAAGAATGACAGAGCTATGTGCAAAGGCGAGACATATTGTGACATATGCTTTGAAAGAATCCCACTCACGCATTCAGCCTGCGGTAGAGGGTCAGGTTGACGAGCCGCTGGGCCTCCTGGGTGTCCGCCCACCGGCAGGTGATGCGGCTGGTGTAGTCATTGTGGCAGCGCAGGGTCTGCAGCGGGATGGTCTCTGCCCCGGGAGAGGCGAGAAGGGGTCACCCCTCTCCCTCCAGGTGCCCCTTGTCACCATCCCTCCCAGCCCCTCCTGGGTGCCCGGCCCTGGGGAAGGGTCCCCCAGAATCCTCTAGGGGCTCCTGGATGCCAGACAGAGGTCTGAGGGCCTGGGCAGGGCTGGGGACCCCGTGGGTGTGCGGGTGCTGCTTGCGGACCCTCCTGTCCGCTAGAGACACAATATCCTGGTTGGGTCACAGCCATGTCTAGCCCCTGCTGTGTCCTCTGGGAGCCGGGTCCCTGCCACCCCAGGACAGGGACGGGTGTCAGGCACAGGCCCTGCCCCTGGAGCCCTCGGTGCATCCTGGGAGGAGAGGCACAAACCACTGCTAACAGGCAGCGGGGCAGGGCCCTGCTCTGAAACCTCCTGCCCATGTCCTTACTCAGCGGCCAGGCCTGATGGATGGAAAGGGGGATGTGGTTGCCATGGTGACCAGAGACGCCACGTTCTCTGGGAGCCTTTGGGGAGCAGGTTTCATGCGCCTCAAGAGCATCCCAGCTGCTGGAGCCAGAGCAGGAAGAGACCCCCAGGATGAGGGTCACAGGGAGGTGGGGATCCGTCGAGGCCACTATCAGAGGGGTGGAGTGGGGGTGGGGTGGGGGTGGGGGAGAGAATGGGCAGAGAAAGGCTGGAAGGGCTGGCCTGGAGGTCAGAGGCCTTGAACGCCACGCTGAGGAATGTGAGCAGAGAAAGGACACAGCAGAGGTGGCTTTTGCAGGGGGCCTGAGGACACTGGGCGGGAGTGTGGGTGGGGCCAAGAGGCACTGGGAACACTAGGGAGAGAGAGGGCATGAGGGGACAGAGGGAGGAAGGCCGGAGCCCCCGGGGTCTGGAGCTTCCTGGGGAAGAGGTGGGGGACAGCTTCAGACAAGGGTTCCAGCAATGTGAGGGGTCTGGGGAGAGGAGAGAAAGAGGAAGGAGCTGTCGGCTCACCGAAGTCCCCTGCCACGCGGGGTTCCCGGCTCAGAGCCAGCAGGGCCATGTGGAACAGCCACCGGGCCAGCGCCATCTCCCGGTCAGCTCAGGGCGAGCAGGGCCGGCAGGGTGGGTGCAGGTGTGGGCCAGGGCTGGTCCTCACTGGCCTGGAATCCTGTGTCGCTCCCCAGTGGGTGGCCAGGCCAGACCCATGTCATCCGCTTGCTCTTGTGAATCTTCCTGCAGCTCTGGCTTCTCTGGCCTGTGGGGGACATGTCACCAGGGAGCTGCCCTCCCAGCCCTGCGCCCCAGGCACTCGGCCTACTTTGGGGGTGAACCCGAGAGTGGCCCTGATGCATGGGCCTCGGCCCGGCACCTCAGACAGTCCCTTCCCTTTCCCCTCAGCATTCCCTGGTATGACCTCGAGGGAGATGCTCTAAAGGCCTGTGAAGACATGGGTCGGGCACCGGGCAGGGCCCTGGTGATAGGAAGACAGGAGACAGAGGCCTGGTGTTGGATTTGCACAGAGATCCCCGTGGGCCTCTGACCCACATCTGCTTGGGGGAGTCGCTGGGTGTGGGGGACACAGTGTCCTCCCTGGGTGTGACCACATGCACACTCACTCACACACTCGGGGCCTGGTGCTCTCCCACCTCTGCCCCGGTTCCTGGCATTCCTCCCACACCACCTCCCAACACCGGACATCAGACACCAGTTCTGCTTTCTCAGCAGGAGGCTGGGGATTTCCTCTTTCCATCCCTAGGAAGAGAGTCTGAAACTTTACTCAGTTTGCAGGAGCACACACACACACACACACACACACACACACACGTGCGCGTGATATATATCAGTGGACACAGACCAGACAAACTGTTTTATGCAAGGATGTGCTATATGACGAGAGAAGTCATGAGTCAACATGCAGTGATAAGAAATGACAAAAAGAACAGGAATAAGAAAAAGTGCTAAGATAATTGAATAACAACATAAAACATATCAGATGAATCCCTCTCTCACACCATTCCTCGAATATCAGGCTACTTTACAATTTAAATGGAAGAAGTCAAAGCATATTAAACTTGCAGACCATAGAAGTGACTATCTTCACACTATTCCAGGTTGTACTTCCCAACCATTGGTATCAGACATGTCTACCGTGAGTTATACTGACCCAGCAGACATTTCTACAAACATGCATAAAAACAAAAACCAGTGGAAGAAGTCAGAGAGATGAAGGCTGGCAGATAGGAATACATAAAAGCAAAATCTTCTATATTTTATAAAAATAACCAGACCATGAAGCAAAGGACAAAATGCAAAAGAGACATGTTTGCAGCAATCTGATGAGGAGCAGATGGCTATCTTGATGTTGAAAATGTTTAAAAAAGATTAATGTCATCCACGAACACACGCATAAAAGTCACAGACACACAGAATTCCTGTCAGGGGCTGACACAAAACACTGACCGGGAGCCAGGCCCGGCTCAGGGCTCCACAGGTATGAACACATCACTGCGCAGTGACTACTGGAAGGCCCACTGTACAGATGAAGAAACAGGCAGATGGTCCAGGAACGCACAGCCAGCAAAGAGGCCGGGACTGAAGCCAACAGCAGGCGGGCACTAGAGTCTGTGCTCTGACCCACTCCACCAAGAGCGGCTGTACTTCCCAACCATTGGTATCAGACATGTCTACCGTGAGGTATACTGACGCAGCAGACATTTCTACAAACATGCATAAAAACGAAACATCTGATTATTGAGTTTAATATTATTATCTTGTTTTGTTGTTGTTGTTGTTTTCATTCTATACAGGGACAATTTTTTTTACTGTACGTCTTATTGGTTTCTTTTTTTGCCACCGATTCCAGCATTGTATGCTTTTTTTTTTTTCTTTCCTGAGCTCTTTTTTTCTTTTCTGAAATACTTCCTAGAGTAACTTTTTTTTTTTTTGTCAGAAAAGATCTGAAAAGTTTTTTTGTTGTTGTTACATTTCCAAAATGTTGTTTTTTCCCCCCTTGAACTTTTTTTAAATTTATCATCACCCAAGGATATGTTTGGAGAGAGAAAGGGAAAGAGAGAGACAGAGGGAGAGAGAGGTAGGGTGAGAGAGGGAGGGAGAGAGGGGGAGAGAGAGAGAGAGAGAGAGAGAGAGAGAGAGAGAGATTGAGAGAGAGAGAGAGAGAGAGAGCGATCTATCGCTTGCTTCCCATTACTATGACTGAGGATTGAACCTGCAACCCATGTATGTGCCCTGACTGGGAATCAAAATTGCAACCTTTTGGTTTATTGGATGACGCTTCTACCAACTGAGACACGGGGCCAGGGCCAAAACAAAACTTTAAAACTTCTTGCTTAACATCCTCAGGGAGATCTGAGAATTCATGGCCATTTAAAAGATTAGACTGCTATGCAAACAATAAGTAGACAGTGATCTTGAAATTTGATGGTAAAAACATCCATGGTTTTTAATAAAAGCCTCAGTAATGGGCCAAATGACTGAATGAACACGACAAACAATCATGTTATGACGGTGTATACTGAAGACAGAGCAAATGCGCAGGAGAGGGAAAGCCTGAGAGAAAAGCTGAGACCTGGGAAAGAATCCAGGAGTCCCACCCTCTGGGAGCAGAGGACAGAGAATTGCATGCAGGTGTGGCAGACAGTGTCCGCCAACTAGCTGCCCTTCCTCCTCGGTAACAGAAGTACAGGTTGTATTTGGACCTTTAGCTGCACAGAATAAAAGGCTACATTTCCCACAGTCTCCTATCATTAGGTGTGGTCATGTGACTAAATTTTATCCAAGGAGATACGAGTGGAAACGTTGGATGTGCTATCCAAAAAGGCTGTGTAGCCCTAGCCAGTTTGGCTTAGTGGACAGAGTGTTGGCCTGCAGACTGAAGGGTCCCAGGTTCGATTCTGATCAAGGCCACATGCCCTGGTTGCAGGCTCGATCCCCAATAGGGGGAGTGCAGGAGGCAGCTGATCAATGATTGTCTCTCATCATTGATGTTTCTATCTCGCTCTCCCTCTCCCTTCTTCTTTGAAATCAGTAAAAATAAATAAAAATATTAAAAAAAGGCTGGAGAGATTAAAAAAAAAAAATGGAGGCAGAGTAAGTGGATGCTGCACAGATATGCTCCCAGGTCCAAACTGGAATTACAATGAAAACACAGAAAAACTTCCTGAATAATCAATGGAAGACTTACTGGAGAGAACCCTGATAACAGAGGACAGAAAGTGGAGATGGCATAGAGATTGGTAGGAGGGGTGGAGGCACGGAAGGGCTGGCCGGGGCCCCCACAGACAGCAGCTGAAGTTCTGGGAAGATGTCTCAGTTGCCGGGGGTTGCCACTGAGAATGATGGGGTCTAATCCCCAAGTGTCCTCTCCCACCCCCAGTAGAGAGCACCAGAACTGAGGGTACCCACTTAACATCTGGCTGTGAAAAGCAGCTGGGTTGCTGTCTGCCAGGGAGAGACAGCTGAAAATTCAGACCCCCTCTTAAAGAGCCAACACACAAAATTCCCTGTGTAGCCACTCACCTTGTGCTCTGACAAAGGCAGGGCAGCGTGAACTGGAGCTGTGTGAACAGAAGCCAGGATCAGGGGCTCAGGAATTAGAGCTCAGAAGGCAGACATCCCGGTTTCCTGCGCTGAGTCTTTCGCTCTTGCTGTGGGAGGACATCTTTCTTATGTAGGTGTTACCTACACAGGTGACCTTGCCTGGGGGAAAGACAGCTGGTCCGCCCTATTGGAAAACCCCTTACCCCACGATGCAGAGTTGCTGAAGCCCAATAGGAGACTGAGAATAACAATTAGCCTCCAGGAAGAAACAACCGCCCCACCCTGTTGAAAACAACTCTTGCAACACCTGAGGTTCCTAGTCTGAGGACAATTTAAGACAGAATCTTATCAGTCTGTAGACAGAAGCAGACTCTGGAGGCTTTAAGTCTTTACCTGATCTAATCAGTCAGAAACAGCATTTGACACTGTCCTGCACTAGAGATAGAGAGGTGTATCAGATCTACCTAATACATAGCCACAAACCCAAACTGGCAGCCAAAATGAGGAGACAAAACAACCCCCAAAAGAAAGAACAAGAGAACTCTCCAGAAGAAGAGATAAATGAAATGGAGATAAAAACAGCAGGAGAAGCCCTAACCGGTTTGGATAGAGCATTGGCCTGTGGACTAAAGATCCCAGGTTCGATTCTGGTCAAGGGCATGTACCTTGGTTGCAGGCACACCCCCAGTGGGAGGTGTGCAGGTTGCAGCTGATCAATATTTCTCTCTCATCGATGTTTCTAGCTCTAAAATCAATAAAATATATATATTTAAAAAAGAACAGCATGAGAAAAGATATAGTAACCAAAAACAGAAATAAAGAATTACATATCACAAATAAAGAACACTTTGAAAGGAATACACAGCAGATTAGGGGAAGCTGAGGATCAAATCAGTGGATTAGAAGACAGGGTTGAAAAAAAAAAATCACTAAATCAGAGAACCAAAAAGGAAAAAAAAATTAAAAAAAACAGGAAGACAGCTTAAGGGAGCTGTGGGAAAATGTGAAATATAACAATATTAGAATATCAGATGTGACAGAAGAGGCAGAAAGGGAGAAAGAAATAGAGAATGAGTTTGAAGAAATAATGGAAGAAATCTTCTCTAACCTAGTGAAGGAAAAAGTCACACAAGTTCAGGAGGCACAGAGAATCCCAGGCAAGAAGAAGCCAAACAGGCCCATGTCAAGATACATAATACTTAAAATGCTAAAAATTACTGGTAAAGACAAAGAGAAAATCTTAAAGGCAGCAAGAGGAAAGAAAACTATTATCTACAAAGGAGCTCCCATAAGGCTGGCACCTGATTTCTCATCAGAAACTCTACAGGCCAGAAGGGAATGGCATGAAATATTCAAGGTAAAGGAAAGCAAGGATCTGAGACCAAGATTTCTATGTCTAGCAAGGCTATCATTCAAAATAGACAGTGAAATAAAGAGCTTCCCAGACAAAAAAAGGCTAAAGGAGTTCATCACCACCAAGCCAGCATTACAAGAAACACTAAAGGGACTGCTGTAAGGGATTGCTGAGAAGACACACAGAGAGAAACCTAGCCATACAGAATTAAGATGGCTATAAAAAAGTACCTCTCAATAATAACCCTAAATGTAAATGGATTAAATGTTACAATCAAAAGGCATAGGATGGATGAATGGATACAAAAATATGACCCAACTATATGCTGTCTACAAGAGAACCACCTCACAATAAAAGACACGTACAGGATGAGAGTAAAGGGATGGAAAATGTTTCTCCATGCAAATGAAAAAAGAAGAAAGAAAGAAAGAAAGAAAGAAAGAAAGAAAGAAAGAAAGAAAGAAAGAAAGAAAGAAAGAAAAAGCTGGAGTAGCAATTCTCATATCCGACAAAATAGACTTCAAAATGAAGTCTATCACAAGAAACAACTAAGGTCACATAATACTAAAGGGATCAATCCAACAAGAGGACATAACCCTGGTAAACATATTTGCAATATAGGAGCACCTAAATATATATATTTAAAGTCTATTTAAAGGGAGTTGGCTCAGCAGCTATTTTGGACCATGAGGTTACCCTGAGTATGAAAGTCACATGCCACACAGCAAGAGAGAAACCCGGGTTCCTCTTTCCACTGTGGAGCGACCATTCCAGCTGGAGATTGGTTGCTTCTAGACATTATTTGTGTGAAGGGCGGGGGGGAATGTCTGTATTGTTAAACCACTGTTGTTTGGGGATTTTCCATGTGCATCCACACAGGTACAGTTAGAAATAGAAGAAGACTTTCGCCGAAACCGGTTTGGCTCAATGGATAGAGCGTCGGCTTGGGGACTGAAGGACCTGGGTTCGATTCCGGTCAAGGGCATGTACCTCAGTTGCGGGCATATCCCCAGTAGGAGGTGTGCAAGAGGCAGCTGATCGATGACTCTCTCATTGATGTTTCTAACTCTCTATCTCTCTCCCTTCCTCTCTGTACAAAATCAATAAAATATATTTAAAGAAAAAAAAAAAAAAAAGACTTGCCCTAGCCGGTGTGGCTCAGTGGACTGAAAGGTCCTGGGTTTGATTCCGGTCAAGGGCACATGCCCAGGTTGTGGGCTCAATACCCACAGTAGGGGCTGTGCAGGAGGCAGCTGATCAATGATCCTCTCTCATCACTGATGTTTCTCTCCCTCCCTCTCCTTCCTCTCTGAAATCAATAAAAATATGTGTAAAAAAAAAAAAAAGAAATAGAAGAAAACTTCACAGGGCTCTGAAGGAGACTACAGGTCACAAAGTGAAGAGCAAGATTCATTTTCCATAGTGCCTACTCAGTCGCAAACTGGTGAACTTTCAGTCATCCAAAAATAAAAGGGTAATCCTAGCAGCTTCCCAAAGGAAAGAAACAAACAGGTTATTTTCAACACAGCAAGGGCCAGGTTGGCAAGATTTTCTCAAGAAGTTAGTGACTCCAAACTCCAAATACACAGTGATGTCTTGAAAATATGGAGAGAAAATAGTTTAAAGCTAGAATCATAAACAATCAAGTTTACTTTGAAGTTCAAGGACAAACACACAACATTTTGGAAATGTGAGGACAGAAAAAGCTTTTCAGATATTTCCTGGGGGAGGGGGAGGGAGAGGAGGAGGAGAATTACTCTAGGATGTATTTCAGAAAAAAAGAAAAAGTCCAAGAAAGAAAGAAAGCAGGTGATACTGGAATCAGTGATGAGAAAATAAACTAATTCAATTCCATTGAATTTAGAGGTTAGATTAACCTCTAAATTCAATGGAATCTACATCAAAATTCAAAAAACATTTCAAAAGGATTTAAAAAAATATATATTTATTGATTTTTTTTACAGAAAGGAAGGGAGAGGAATAGAGAGCTAGAAATGTCCATGAGAGAGAAACATCGACCAGCTGCCTCTTGCACACCCCCTACCGGGATGTGCCCGCAACCAATGTACATGCCCTTGACCGGAATCGAACCTGGGACCTTTCAGTCCGCAGACTAACGCTCTACCACTGAGCCAAACCAGTTTCGGCTCAAAAGGATTTTTAAAAATTATAGATTTTTATTGATTTCAGAGAGAGAAAGGGAGAGGAAGAGAAACATCAATGATGAGAGAGAATCATTGACCATCTGCCTCCTGCACGGCCCTTACCTGGGATCAAGCCTGCAATACTAGGCATGTGCCCTGACCAAGAATCGAACCTCCCAGTTCATAGGTCAACTACACTCAACCACTGAGCCACACTGGCCGGCTCAAGAGGATTTTTAATGGGCTTGACAAACTGATTCTAAATGACAACAAACCAAAGATGAGAGACTTGCTCTATTCACTATAAAAGTAATAAGGGATATAATAGACAGATGGAACAGAGAACAGTAAGGAAAGTAAGCAAGTAGGAATTTGGGGAGTAATAAAGGCATTTCAGATTACCAAGGCAAGAATGGGCTGCATTCATGTAATTAATGATATCGCCACAATTAGCTAATGGTTCTTCAAGTTAGATTATTAGTTTCCACATTACCCACCCCTTTAAAGTCTAGGTGGGTCAAAGGTCTACAAATCAAAGCTAAAATGATAAAAACACCACAAATATGTCTTTAATCTTGGGTGTTGAACAAGGCATCCAATCCAGAAAGCATTAAGTGAAAAACAATGACAGATTTGAGTTAGAAGCAGTTAATACACTTTTATATGAAACCAGATATCTTGGGGTGAAGAAAACACACAAGCGATAATCTGGAAGAATATATTTTCAACATACAGGAATACGCTGTTAATACCCATAACGAGTGACTCGAGCCTAGATAGAGAGGTACAGGCAGAGAATCCATCAGAAAACGAACAAAAGACATTTCCATGTCCATCTCTGAAGGATGTCATTGGTGAAAACGCACAACCTCACCCCTAATCAGAGGAAAACGTCCAAGCAGAACCAGGCAATTTTCATCTATTCCTTTGGACCCAATTAAAAGATTCTTTTTCTGAAGAGAAATCCGCCCTTCCATGCATGACCGTGAGGGCATATGTTAATTTCGCTACTTGGAGGAAGATTTGAAAATATTTGCATACATTTTAAACATGCATTCTCTTGCCGAGCAAGTCGGCTTCCAGGAATCTGGGCTGCAGGAACATGAAACGACCTACGTGTCCCTTCGTACGGCACACGGTCTCGTGGCCGTTCTAATAAAGGCCATGCACTTCTTAGGATTAATGCGTGAGTTAAATCTACATGTAGATTGTGGAAAGTTGTTAAAACTTAGTAGGCGAGAAAATAATTCAGAACAATATGTACGTAAAAATCCCATTTATGTACAAAGAAAAACAATATATATACTTATGTTAAGCTTGAAAATGTTTGGGAGGGTACATGTGGTGAAGGGGGCAGAGCATGGGACTAGGGCAGTGGTCGGCAAACTGTGGCTCTCCAGCCACATGTGGATCTTTGGCCCCTTGAGTGTGGCTCTTCCACAAAATACCACAGCCTGGGCGAGTCTATTTTGAAGAAGTGGCAATAGAAGTTTAAAAAATGTGCCTCTCAAAAGAAATGTCAATTGTTGTACTGTTGATATTTGGCTCTGTTAACTAATGAGTTTGCCGACCTCTGGGCTAGGGGATAAAGGTGTCAACGCTGTTTTCTATGCTGCGTAATTCTGGGCTATTCTAATTTAAAAAAATATTTTTTTTTATTGATTTCAGAGAGGAAGGGAGAGGGAGAGAGAGAGAGAAACATCAATGATGAAAGAGAATCATTGATCGCTGTCTCCTGCACACCCCACACTGGGGACTGAGCCCACACCCGAGCATGAGCCCTTGACTGGAATTGAACCTGGGACCCTTCAGTCCCCAGGCCGACGCTCTATCCACTGAGCCAAACCAGCTAGGGCTAGCCTAATTTTTCACAGAGCAGATATCCATGCATTTACTTGATAAATATTAAATATGCTGATTAAGTCATGAGCTGTCCTGGAGTACTGGTGAATACAGTGACACATCAGTGAAACCGGTGAGTAAGAAGGTGACCGAGAGCTACCAGGAAA